ATATAAGTTCCAGAGAGGTGATATATCTTTTTTAAAACCTGACATAAGAAAGTCATTGCATTAACTTTAATGGATAGGCTTACACTTAAGTGATATACCAAGCAATTGCATTATTTGTATGACACTCAATTTAGGGATAAAAATATGTCAACTAAAAGGAAATTTAGAACAAAATACATGTATTGTCAAAATGATGCCATTGATTTTACCATCAATCCTTCCAAGCAAAATTGAAGAAACCCACTCCTCTATTTTTTAATGATGTTAAATCCTAAAATCATGACTGATTAGGTCACAGATTCAATCCCCATAGGTAACATTAGTGCTGTAACTGCAAAAACAACAACAACAACTAATGACCCACTGGGATTCTAATGCTATTTATTTTCTTAATATCTCCTTTATATCGAGAAAAACAAAGGGAATATGCCTTATGGTACAGAATTAAGAAATACTGTGCTTGATAATGAATGAATATGGTACAGAAATTTAGAAATATGGTTTTGATAATGAATTCTTAATGTTGCATATCTCTGGCACAGCAAGCCTCTGTAGACCAATTATCTCTTTATTTAAACAATTTCAAGTCTTAATTCTCAAAGTAAGATTATGCAATAAATCTTTCATACTATCATAGTTACTTTATAAGTCAAATCTTTGTTTCCTTCAGGGTGTTGCTCTGTACAGGTTTCACTATATCTTTATTTTGGAAGTGATCAAAATATGTACTAGTGATACAGTCAAACCTGTGAACACCTTAGGCCATCCAACAGAAAGAGAGTCTGAGCATGGTCTTTATAGACAAGTGGTCATAATGTGGAGGTTACTCTGTTCTATTCAATCAATGAAGGGTTATCCAAATAAGTGGTCTTTATTTGGAGGTTATTATTCAATCAAGGGTTGTCTAAAAGTGACCTTTATTTACAGGCTGATCTTTATTCAGAGGTGATCTTTAACACAAGTTTGACTGTATATATGTTTTGGAAAGTTCAAAATTGAATTTCATTTCTCTCTCATCCAAATCAAGCCCATTAACTTATATTTACTGATAAATAAAGTAGGTTCATTTATATTATTATAAATTAATTAATGTATGGGCTTGGAGATCTAAAACAACATTATAGTTAAGTTCCACAGAGATATTGTATTTGTTTTTGTTCTTAATTTAGTACCATTTTCTCTGGGAATATAATTGTGCAGGTGTTTCAAAAATCTATTCTTTCTATCATCACACTTTCATTGTTTTGACAGAGAAAACTTCTAAATTTTTTGACCTTCCTATGAGAACTAATGAACATGTGTTAAATACACATCAGCAAAAGAGGTCAGTCTTTCGGTCAGTTTAGCTGCTTCAATATTCCAAGGAATTTTTTCCTGTGAGAGCTTCAGCATGAAATGTAAATATACATCTTTCCCCGACAGACATTGTCCAGCACACCTACTTTACAGATTGTCTGGAAGAAAGACATACTATCCTGTGTTTACTTTCATGTCCGTACATGTCATGTTGAACATGCCAAACTTGTCCAGTGTAAATCAAACACCAATTATAATGTTATAATATATACAGAGAAAAAGACTTTATCATCACCTATATTATCATCACTTCATGATTTTAACATTAAATCAAAAAGAAATTAAGACATGTCAAAGCGACCAGTGTAATTCTTACTGTATGTCTAGGGCTGCGGTTCCTAGAAAGTCCCCGGTAGATTCTTTGGTAGTTTAGCACGGAGGAAGGTAGTCTAGTACTGGTGTAACTCTCCAGGAACGATGGTTAGAAAACTACCCGCCCATATGACTGAAATACTGTTGGAAAAAGGCGTAAAATGAAACAAACAAACAAACAAACAAAACTTTTCTCAGGATAATGAATTTATGTACAGTATACAGTATTTGACTGAAGAGAAAAATGTTTATTAAAATGGTCTTAAGAAAGTCCTAAAGTTGGTTTTATGTCCCAATACTTAGGATACAATAGGACATCCTCCAAGGACATTGAGCAAACATTAGATGTACCTAATAACATTTCTCTAACCAAATCTCAAAAGCCTCTGGTCTCAAAATTTCTATGATTCTTTGGTACCATCAAAAACACAAGTAATTACAGACTGGTGTCTGTAAATGCTATTTGTAACATTTTCAGATTGTTGTCTATTTGTAACCTTTGAACTTCCGGTCTTTTGTATCCGGTACAAATCACATAAATATGTCAATTTCCCAAACAATCTGAAGTAGTCTATACATACTGTATATTGAGTATTGTCAAGTATTGTAGGTTCCATCCCAATCTTTTGTAATCAGAGATAACAAATGCTATCCAATTCAAAGCCTTTCTCTGACATAACAAATAAATGTTTCTCCGAAATAGGATAATCAATTTGGTGGGAATATTTAGAGTCATTCTACCATACTTAAGGCAGTGATCTAATTAAACTAGTGATTTTTACAAAAAAAAAAAAAATCAACACCCCCACTTTATGTTTTTCAAATCCCCCCTTATGCCTATTGCTAAAAATTTTTTTCTAAAATAGTCAAACAGAGCATTTTAACAATTTTTCTATAGGAATATCGCGGGACACCCACAAAATCACGTAAAAAATTTGAACTAAAGTTTACATGATATATAAATGCTGTCTCTCATATTTTCACAGCTTATGAAAGAAAATTACATTTTGGTATAGCGAAAATTATTGACATTTTAAGTGTTTATGAACCTTTTAACCAACATTATATAACACTAAATTTCGATTACTTGGCAGCTTGCGTTGTTTTCTTGTTAAAAGCCATTGAAATAATCAAAACAGTGTCTTAAATGATCAAGTATATAATAGTGAAAGGCTTAAAGAACAAATATAATCAGATAAAAGTATATAATATGTATACTCAAATTGTTATCAAAATCTACTTCTGCAGAATTTTTTCTATAGAAGTTTATTACAGGTAAGTTATGTATTTGTTCATGCAAGAGCTGTTGGTAGGACAGTACTTGCTCAACTTTTCACAGTGCTTGATAGTATTACAAAAGCAACAAATGTAATACTATCCTTATTAATTTATAATCTATGTAGATATCCTGCATTTGGACTAAATATGCGCCTAAATTTTCTAAAAATAACATAACTGCTGCAGTGTTTATAAACATACTTTTATATGTTTGTATTCAGTTAAAAACTTTCTACCAGTATTCTGTATATGTCCAAAAGAAATGACTTAATTGTTATTGGTTAACATTTGCATGTAGTCTACAAATGACTTCTATTGGTTTTCATGTGAACATAATCTATGACTTACTATTGGTTTTCATGTGAACATAATCTATAAATGGTTTGCAATTTATTTTGATATGAACATAATCTATAAATGACTTACTATTGATTTAAATGTGAACATAATCTAGAAATGACTTGCTATTGGTTTTCATGTGAACATAATCTACAAATGACTTCTATTACTATTGGTTTTCATGTGAACATAATCTATAAATGACTTCTATTACAATTGGTTTCCATGTGAACATAATCTTTGACTTGCTATTGGTTTTCATGTGAACCTAATCTACAAATGACTTGTATTGGTTTTCATGTGAACATAATCTATAAATGACTTCTTTTACTATTGGTTTTCATATGAACATAATCCATGACTTGTTACTGGTTTTCATGTGAACATAATCTACAAATGACTTCTATTGGTTTTCATGTGAACATAATCTTTAATGACTTACTATTGGTTTTCATGTGAGCATATTATCTATGACTTACTATTGGTTTTCATGAGAACATAATCTATAATGACTTACTATTAGTTTTCATGAGAATATTAATCTATAATGACCTACTATTGGTTTTTATGAGAACATCAACTTTAATTGACTTACTATTGGTTTTCATGTGAACATAAACTTTAATTGACTTACTATTGGTTTTCATGTGAACATAATCTATAATGACTTACTATTGGTTTTTATGAGAACATAATTTATAAATGACTTACTATTGTTTTCATGTGAACATAACCTATAAATGACTTACTATTGATTTTCATGTTGCTGCAGTCTACAAATGGTTTGCTATTTATTTTATTGTGCTTAAACAAATAACTTGCAAATGGTTTAATGTTCACACATTAAAGACTTACTATTAGTTTCCATATGCAAAATTTTAATGAATTCTTACAATCTTCTTACTATTGGTTTTTTAAAAACAACAATTTTCAACCAACACCTTAATTGCTACTGGTTTAATTGCTACTGGTTTACATGACTTGTGCATTATTATTCTATTAACATCTGAATTTCTATTGGTTTTCATGTGCATATATTCTATTTTCAATCAAACTGTTATCAAAATAGGTTGTAATGCGCATGAGACTTCACTTAAAACTATAATATCCCTTACTTTAAAGTGCCTTTACAAGTTGTTATTCTATATATATATATATACAAAATGTTTTCCAATTTGCACTGCAGGTTTTTGGTTTAATGAATTTCACACAAAAAACTTGTTCATTATCAGTTTTACTGAATAAACTTTCAAAAGCTGGTTCAGGAATGCTTATCTGATTTACATAATATTTCAAATGGAATACATAGAAAAATTTAATTTAAATTTTACAGATAAAGCAAAAAAATTATAAAAACCCCAATAAATGCACAACTCTTCATAACATGCAGTCTATACATTAAAGCCAATAGTTCTGCTATTGAACTGACAGTCTATTCAGCCTGCAGTACATGAAAAGCTTAACTTTATATATAATTATATTATCCTATTTCATCTATTTTGAATAAATGTATTTCAATCAATTTTTAATGAAATGCAGTTTAAAGAATTAGAAATGTATTTACAAACTGCATTAGAATAAATTATAAATGTAACAATGTTCCTTCAACTACAAAGAAAAACTTTTCAACCAGATGTTTGAAAATTTCAAATCTTTATTATTACATCATTAACATTATATAATATACGTTACAACATTAAACACTGCATAATTACCTTACAGTGGCACTAATTAAACCAATCACGTGCACAATTAACTACACGTGCACAATTAACTCCCACCATACACTCAACCTGTAATACCTCAATAATGTTTCTTGCAACAGTTACTCTAATACAGCTCCTGCCTAAACATTTCTATGAAATTTTCTTTTTCACCGCCTATAGCGGTTTTCCTATATTTCTATGTACTCCAACAGTGCCAAGCATGTTAAATTTCAGTATCAGATAATCATCCATTAATTATAACAGTTAACAGCATGCAACTGTGATACTTTACAATCAAACCAGCCTCTCTTTCAGTTTCAGCCAATCAGAATGCAGCTTTCATACAAAATGATCACTGATTGGCAGTTTTAATCACAGGTGTTCAGTAGAGATAATGATGGTAGAGAAAACTTCACAATATCTGATTAACTTTATCAATGGATATAGACCTTCTTCTGCCAATCCAAAGAATCTATCAGTCTAAACAAAAATAAAAACATTAATTTCGTTCAAGTAACATTTTTGGACTTTCTAAGATTTGTATAAAAAAAACCAGATTATATATAAATCTTAAGATTTTACAGATTTCATCTATCAAGTTCATCTTTTGAAATTTATTTATTATTATTAAAGTCATTAAAAGTTCAAAGGAAAGTGAATAATGTAACTGATATTTTAATTTCACATCTGACTCAATTGAAATTCTTTAAAACCATATTTTTTTCCCAGTGTTTATGTATTACATACATCTTTAAAGGATTATGAATGTCCTTTAGATAAATGGCATTTTTACAGGATTTTTAAGTTTCATCAATTAAAGGAAGAAGGAAAAAATTATAACCAAAAAAAATTTCAGACCAATGTGTGTCTCAACAAAACCATGACATCATTAAGTCATGACAGGAATTTTATTAAATTTTAAAACAAGAGCCATGTCAACATGGCCATCCCCCGCCGAATGTGTTTTGCTCATTGGAAGAATGTATATGTAGTTAGAGCAGAATAATTCCATTTTAAGAGGTCTTTTGGTAATGAAAAACTGATGGCTATAGTGATTACAGATTTGAAACCTATGTGAAAACTGATGGCTGAAAATAACAAAGGGCAATAACTGAAAAATAATGCAGGGTAGGTTATCATCCTTGTGTGCTGCATCCCTCCTCAGTAAAATCTATCCACCTATGAAGTTTCAAGTTGATACTTCAAATACTTTTTGAGAAAAAAAATTGAATTGAAAAAATTAAGTATGAAAAATAACAAAGGGCAATAACTCAAAAAATTATAAAAGGTACAGTTATCATTCTTGTGCAGTGCACACCTCCTGAGTGAGATCTATGCACCTGTGAAGTTTCATTTTGATATCTCAAAGGCTTTTTGAGTTATGCTCTGGACAAAAATTAATTTTGAAAAATAACAAAGGGCAATAACTAAAAAATAATGCAGGGCAGAGTTATCATTCTTTAGCACTGCATTCCTCCTCAATGAGATCCATCCACCTATGAAGTTTTCAAGATGATACCTCAAATACTTTTTTCAGATAAGCTCTGGACAAAAATAGCATGAAAAAAACAACAAAGGGCAATAACTCAAAAATTGTATAGGGAAGAGTTATCATTCTTGCGCACAACATTTCTCCTCAATAAGATCTATCCTTCTATGACATTTCATGTTGATATCTCAAACACTTTTTTTGAGTTATGCTCCACTTAGGTGAAAAATTAGGTATGAAAAATAACAAAGGGCAATAACTCAAAAATTATGAAAGGAAGAGTTATCATTCTTGTGCACTGCACACCTCCTGAGTGAGATCTATGCAACTATGAAGTTTCATGTTAATATCTCATAGGCTTTTGGAGTTATGCTCTGGACAAAAATCAATTTTGAAAAATAACAAAGGGCAATAACTCAAAAATCATGCAAGGTAGAGTTATCATTCTTGTGCACTGCACTCCTCCTCAATGAGGTCTATCCACCTATGAAGTTTCAAGTTGATAACTCAAATACTTTTAGAGATATGCTCCGGACAAAAATTTCGGACGGAAGGACGGACGGATGAAAGCACGGAAGGTCGGACGGACGGACGGACGGAGACTATTACTATATCCTCTGCCGAAAATTTTCGGCGGGGGATAAAAAAGGATACTAGGCGATTAAAATACTGTATAAATTGATATTTCCGAGTGTAGAAAAATTTCAAATTCAAGTCATTTTGCAAGAGGAAATATTAACAAATCATGCCAGGGTAGAATTTAATGACAGGTTGGCTGATAACTATGAAAGCGGAAATTTTAGAGATTTGCGTCAATATGCGAAATTCGCCAAAATTTAAGCGTCCCTAACTCTAAGCCACATATACAGTAAGTAGAGATAACATGATATAACTTGTTTGTTTGGTTTTATGTATTCTATACTGACTTGAACACATGTTTTGGTTTTATGTATTCTATACTGACTTGAACACATGTTTTGGTCATATCTTGGTGGTTGAACCACTTCACCAGGTTTACTTGGATAACTAACCAGTGATTACCAGTTTCTCAGCAAATGCCTGACTACTAATCTCGATGATTTTTGAATCAGTGATGTGAAACAATTATTCATGACCATAAGACTAAATGTTTGAGATCCATTATGTCTTGGAAAAATTGTGCCATACCATAGGATCAAACCAGTGACCCCTAGATTACAAAGACAATGCTCTCCCTGTTAAGCTAAGCAGGGGAACTGGCCACGGATTTGGTAAAAGCAAAATCATACCATAGGTTGTAATGACCTAAAAGAAGACATGGGTTTGGTTGCATAAAAATCATGAAAATACAATACAGAGACATTTTAAAAGACCATAGTTTCATAATAGTCATGACATGACAATATAAATAAAGATATTAAAGGGATTAACTTTTTGAAATCATGAAATCACAATATAAAGAGACTAAAGGGCCATAACTACTTCATGACACCATGACACATAATTGAGTCTCTATACCACAAATCATGAAACAAAACTCAGTTTAAGAAACATTTTGGCTCATTACTTACCCAACCCCTCGCAATATATCTTAAATCAACTTATCCATGTTTCAATCTGGGCAAAACCATTCATTATACATAGGGAAAATTTCAAAATATGTACTGACTGAATACTGTGAACAGGGCAGACCATGATTCAGACAGCGAGGATGTGCTGGCTGATTTTGGTCTGCACTGGTCACATTGTTAGAATCACGTACTTGCTGTCAGCAGGCTAATTAAAGATTTTAAGAATAATGCGCCAAATTAATATTGAAAATAAACAGTAACAAACAGAACACAATAAATGGTCATAACATGATTTAAACTGATATAATTGCATAACATTATGCAGTGATGTATCTGAACAAATTTTAATTGTAAAATTCTGAACAAAGGTAGATTTTAATTGTAAAATTCTGAACAAAGGTAGATTTTAATTGTAAAATTCTGAACAAAGGTAGATTTTAATTGTAAAATTCTAAACAAAGGTAGTAGCGACAGTTAAAGAATAAAGCACCGATTATTGTTCATTGAAAACTATTTAACTATACTAAAGGAAGAATCTGACTATTCGACTGGAAACAACAAAATTTGTATTATTCAAATGGTCCAACAACAAAACTATTATTCAACTTAAAACAATTCTGTATCTTTCAACCACAAACAAATAATCTATATTGATTCAGCGACCATTAAACTGAATGCAACACTGAGTTGTTATACTGCCATTTAATCAAAGTCAATAAACAATTCAAATCATTAAAATTTAAAAAATATAAGTTTCAAGTTCTGAAAACTTTCACAGTTAGCTATAAATCGCACGACTTTTTTTCCCCGACAGCCTGTTAAAGCCATCTGTAAACTCCTCAGCAACACCCTCCATTCTGATTAACGCGCAAAGTGTCGAAAACTCACCAAATGCAATACAATGACAATGCTGCAATAAACAATGCCATGCTAACTTACAGTATGCATCATATTTACCTCTGGGACTATTATCTTACACATTTTTTGCGATGACAAATCAATTTAGAGTATCTAATTCAACATGAAACGCCCGTCCTCCCCATTTTTTCTCCCTCTTCTCACACTCGCTCCCGACTTTCTTTCATCATTAACATGCCATATTTGGTTTAAAGGTGTTCAAGTGAACAATTAAATGTTTTGTAATTACTCTATTGGAATTTGCTAAGATATTTTCACACTATTGTTCTAGCTTGTGAAGAAAATTTGATAGCGCTTCAATAAAAAACAGGAGTATTCATTATTTCTGAATAAACTTTAATGAGGGTGTATTGAATGCATGTAAAAGCAGATATAAATAACTATTTAAAAGAAGTGTGGGGGGACTTTCAAAATCTTGCATTTCTTTCACAATGATTTTGTACATCAAAAAATATGATAAAGAATGACCTAAGTACCCTGCAACTCCGTTATAATGCTCATATTGGGGTCCAATCGCATTAAATCGGGTTTCTGATGTATCTCTGAAACAAAGGATTTCTCATAGAAGAAAGATATTATGATGTCCATAATCAAAACAAGATATCCTTGAATCAAAAACAAGAAACCCAGGCTGTAACAGTGTAATAGTGCATCCAAGTAAAAAGGAAGAAAAAAATATCAATCACATATCAGTATAATTTCTGTCAGCTTTTGGCAGATTACAAGATATGAGGTGATCACAAAAGCTCACCTCAACACACTTTGAGCTCAGTTGAGCTTAAAAACACTTCAGAAGAAAATTTTTATGGTTTACATTTAACTTTTAAACATTACCTTCGACTCTAAATAACTACTTTTGTACAATAGCTAAAAGAAACATCATAATACTTAATTATTCATATATTAGACACTTGCAGTAAAAACGAAGTATCAAATTTGTAACAGTGTTAGGGACAATATTTCAGCATTTGTCAATCGAAGGCTATATATTGCAACATGCCGAAACATGGTGGCCGTATCTAAATTACAATATACATTAAAATTATCATTTAAATTGAAAATTACTGTGTATGCCAATCATAAGAAGTGAAGATTTCATTATAAACTATCAGAAAATCATATTACTGTCTCAAACTAATGAAAACATTTTAAACGTTTTCATACTTTTTTGTTTTGAAAATAGATTATGTTTTCAGAACTGAAGGGAAAATTTGAAACTCACTATATCTTTTGTATAATTAAAAGTACA